AAAAAAAAAAAAACAAAAAGAAGTATTTCTATATGTAGAAAAATTGACAAATTCCCAGAAGATAAAAGATCTTTACATGGTTAGTGAGTTGAACGGTGTGCACCATATACAAGTAGTGATGCTATGCATCAAAAGGAGACTAGAGAGTTTTTTTTCCCCAAGAGTGCCTAAAATGACCACTGGAATTACACGTAAATAGATATTTTCCCCTTGAGTGCCTAAAATGATCACTGGAGTTATGCATTATATTTTGCTGAAATTTTGTACTGAGGCCATTAATTTTTAGTCTCCTTTTTCTGGTATGGTCACAGTTCTGAAACTGAATGAAACTTATCTGGGGAAGTCACCATGTTCAAGGCTTCAAGCTCTCCTTCATTTGGTCGACCATCCACTGATGTATCTACATCAGGGTAAGTCATAAATATCAGCAAAATACAAACATCAGTATTCAGCCATAGGGAACTAGTCATTCATTATTTGGAGCTTAGTTATTTCAAAATTCATTTTCTCGCTTTAATGTTTTACCCATTTCCAATTTCTCAAATCAAGATAAAAATAGCAGATTTTTCATAAATATTGGTTTCTCTTCCATTTTTTCCTGTACTGCAATTCAGGGAAGTGAGTACCAATAAGCTTACAAGTTTAACTGCTTTTTAGGGTTTTAACAGGAGGAACAGCTTTTTAAGATTTCTTTTTTCATGTTTTTAGTGCTTTATATTTTTATTTTTTAAACTTCCACCCTCACTGTCCTTCCTATCACTAAACATTCTCTTTGGGTCATAAATCATATTCATAGTTTCCTGATTATATTGTTTGATTTCTTTCTACACTTCCCCTTGTCCATTGACATCTTTAACTTTGCATAGCACATCACTTAGTAATGTTAATTCACCAGGTTTAGATATTTTCCCTGTTTCCTGGTTTTGAGCATTTGTTCCCTTTTGGACTTGGTTTCAGGGTTTCATTGAGGGTTTCTGTGCTTAGGCAACTTTCCAAAAACTTTGCTCAACTCAATGGAGCTCTTCTTTTAGCATGTTCAAGGAAGCCATTGACAAAAAAAAGTGCAAATAGGAAATTGGTTTATGTTGTTTTTGGAGACCACATACTCATGTGGTATTGAAATGACAGCCGAGTTTTCCTCGGGATGCAACAGCTATAAATCAATGGTGGTTATCCAAGCTGCAAGAGTACAAGGAAACAATGAAGCAGAAAATGAAGCTTTTGACCGTCACATGCATAATGCTGGTTTACTGGAGGAAGCATTTCTTCTAAATTCTTCACTGGGAGAATCCAGAACAGATGCACTGTCTGAAGTGGAATCTGCAATTCTGCATCTGCTTCTGGTGAAATGTATGCTAGGAGGTTGATCTTAGGGTCTGAAATAAAGCTGAGGTCAAACTCAGAGAGATCAGATGGCATCAGAGAAACTTGTCGATCAGGGTCTCAGGAAGTTGCACAAATGGGAGTTTGGATATAAGGAGCACCTACCAATGCTCAACACCTTGGATGGCCAGGAGCCTAAAAAATCAGCGGAAAAAAAAAGAATTGATGTCCTGAGAGGGCATTGGCAACAAGTGATCTTGTTGATAAATTGAATAAATCTCACAATGAGGAAGATCTGAAGTCCTTGGAGATGAACTCCAAGTTGTTTAATCAGCATCAGGAAGTATGGATGTTGAGATATCAGAGTAGATGACTGCTGAAGATGTTTAATCAGATTATTCCTTTCCTAATTATTTAATACAGTTGAAAACAATCAAGAAACGCACCAAAGTTTGGATGCACATTTTTCTTCTCTTGATCAGATAGAAGATCTTTGATTGAGTTTAGCTAGGTAAAAAATCCAGGAGTTAAAGTAAATAGGAGATGACTGCTGAAGATGTTTAATCAGATTACTCTTTTCCTAAATTATTTAATACAGTTGAAAATAATCAAGAAACGCTACAAAGTTTGGATGCGCATTTTTCTTGTCTTGATTCAGATAGAAGATCATTGTTTGAGTTTAGCTATGTCAAAATCCAGGGGTTAAGCAGATAGGAGCTGGTTCCATACCCCAAGGTCCGGTGGTTGGACAGCCTCTCAATATGAACAAGTGATCCCTTGTTAATTTTTTTATCACGAGGATCAAAGTTTTGGAAGGTTTTCTGAGGCAATGAGACTAGTGCCCACCCATTCACTGTATGAGTGTATTAAATGAAAATTTGGTAAGAATCTCAGGTGGAATAAAAATTCACCTGGTTGGAGTTCCTCATATTAGATCTTCTAGATGCCAATTTTCCAAAGATCACTCGTTAATCTTACAACTAGGCATCCAAGTTTAGTCACATCTCTTTCCTGTTGTGTGCACATGACAACCCTCCACCTCACCCACCCCTACCTAATAAACTTGTACACGATTTAATGCCCGCTCCATTGTTATTGTTAACGTTTACCCAGATCTAGCAGGCAAGGATTAAAATTTCATCACGTATCGGCCTGCATTGGCTGGTATGTATCATATCCCGATACGCTCTTACAGGGGGTGTTTTGGATCGGTGAGTGGTTCAGGGGGTAGATTGGCTTTAAACCTGCCCTTCTGAACCAGATTAAAAAAAAAAAACATAAAAAAGAGTACCGACAGGCGGATACCGGCATATCGCCCTGTATAGATATTTTGAAACTTGCTAGCAGGGGTTTCAGTGATTTTCACTTTTACATTGATTTCCCGTTATTTTGGATTTGGACTGAAATAATTGACCCTTTATAAAATTCTAGAAGGTAGCCTCATGCGGTGGATGTGGATCCAGATTTGCCTTCCTGTGGCCTCTCTGGTTGCACGAACGAACGAATTCCAATAATGCTTAATGGAAAATGAACGAGCAAGTTGGTCATTTTGTAATTTTTTTTTTCCAATGTTATTGAGTTACACGAGTTCTCTGATCAGCATTTCCGAGTGGTTGAATGCTAGCTCTGGACTATTAAATTTCTAGAGAAAGAATTTAAGGGGTGGGCTTAGTCAGAAAGCCCCGGACGGTTTCCATTGGTCAAGACCCAAAATACACTTGTGCGTGAATTTCTAAGTTTGACTTTCAAAGGGCAGCTTAAGAGGGGTCAAAAAGCTCAACTCAACCGAGAGGCAGGTCCTTTGCCTTTAGGCCAAGTGAGGAGGGTCAACACACAGAAAGAGACTCCCAAATAGCCTCCTATTCAAAATTATTTGATGTCAATCTCACATGTTCTCCTATCTTTTAAGAAACCTCAGCAATGAAATGGAATGTGTGGTTTTCAAGTGATATCATGCCTCCCATCTCTCTCAGAGCCTCTCCATCATTTAAAATTGGTTATTTTTAGGTCAACTTTTTTAGGGTTTTCATGGATTACAAAGTTATCTTTCAAACAAAGTCATTTTGGTTTAGATGGATTGGTGGTGCACTCATGAAAAAGAATCCTATCTGGTTTTAATTTTAAACTTTAAAGGCACATACTATTATGACGACTGAATTCCATCTTTCTTCTAATTTTCTAAAGCTCCTTTAAACCATTTGCCTTGGTGGGTTGTCTTGAAATGTAGTGCTTTGTTGCTTTATTCGCTTCATGCTCCTAATCTTCCACCTTTCTTGGTGGACTTCTTTTCTAGGCCATTCTCCTCCTTTCAAACAAGGCTAGCAAACAGTAACACAATTCCATGACTTCTGGTTCTGGTTTATTCTAGACATCTAACTCTTACTTTTCAGGGGCTTTCTTCTCTTGATCAATTACATTAATGTCTTATTGATGATCTCAACTTTGATTTAGTTCAAGATTCTTTCTAGCTATCTAGTTTGGTTTTTGATGAATGAGGACATGACTGACAAAGGTAACAAATAATATATTCTTTCTTAAATAGCCAGATTGATTAATAATAAAGTGCAAATCAACTACAGAAAAATCATCTCTCAAAGAAAGATATGTCAGCTTACTCGGTGGATAAGTCCAGGGTGTATTGATAAAACAACGCATTAACCCCTTACCCTCTTGTCTGAAAAAAAAAAAAAAGAAAAACTGGTTCATATCCTTGTCAGGCTTTTTGGCATCTATGTAGAACATTGAAGCACAATCTTCTAGGAAAGTACAAAGAAAGAGAGTAAAAAAAAAAAAAAAAGAGAAAGGACTACTTGATGAACACATCCCTCGTGAAAAATCCATCTAGAAACCTATTTGATTCAAGTCTGGCTGATGGATGATATACATCATTTTTTAGGTCAAGTCTCAAATAGAAGTTGATAAATCACATGATATCGGTGGGTTTTTAACTCTTTTTTTTTTAAAAAAGGACGGATGATCATTATTAGTGTCCCAATTAACAACAGAGGAAAACAACTAGCATTCTAGACAGGGAATCAATGAGTCATGCTTCCTCTTCTCTGCTTTCTTTTCTTCTTTTCTTTGGGTTATTTCTTTTTCATCTTTGCATATGAAGACAGACATCTATACATATCCTCCATTACAGCAACTATTCCCTCTGAAAGAAAAAAAAGTCTCTCTCTCTCTCTTCATGTGTCGGTGCTGTAGTAAATCTCTGCCAGGGTCATGGCTGCATGTCAAGTACCACTGTTTCTACCCTTTTTTGGGCAATGGGTGGAGATTGGACTCCTAGGGTCCAACATGATGGCTAACCCAAATGCTCCTAATGTGGCCTTCATCAGCCTAGCATTGACAATGACTTAAACATGGTGGAACAATGTTGGTTTTGGGAAATTCTAGCAGTACTTTTGTGGAGATAGTCCAAACGAAACACGGCCAAATTTCAACTGTGTGTTGCCTTGAATGGTCCCAACTAGGGTTTAAAACTTCTTTAACCTACAAATTTTGTCCATTCTAAACCATGGCCTAAGATAATCCAACTTAATAATTTATTCTAAGCCCCATGAAAAAACTGAGATGATTAATGCTTTGTCGGCACGGTTCAGATTGATTCATCTGATGGGTTCGAGGAAAATAGTTGGAGCTCATCCATATTAGATGAACAGGTCCAGACATGAGGTTCCAACCTCTCTGTAGGATGTTGCAGGTGTCAAAGTGTGGCTGCCTGAACTTTTCTGGAGGGATGGACCCCCTGAGATCACCTTCTTATTTCTGAGTAATATTTGCTGTGCTTAATGAATCCCAAATCTTGTAGCTTATCCGTACTTAAAAATTTTTGGGTGGTAGCTATCTGCTATCCTCAATTATTAATGAAATGTTAATGAATACAGGTGGATTATAGACATCAGATTGGGCTTTTAATATATTTTCAAAATTTCAATCCATTATAGAAAGGTGGGTGGGTAATGGGTTGGTCTTTGCCTCTCCCAAGAGATAAAAAGAAAGAAAATATTTAAGGGAATCAAGTGGCAGTGGTGAAGTTGTTTGGACAAAATACCAAAAAAGAAAATAAAGGAAAGGACTTTAGGGGTGAGGGGGTGAAAATTGAGATTGTAAATATATAGAGATGTGCATAGAATATCCTCCTTGGAGGAACATGCTGTGTGCAAGTGTTGTCGGCATTTTTCTTTTTCTAAAGGCATTAATATTGATACCCAAGCAGAGAAGACTTGGTATCCTCTACTCAATTAATCTAGAGAAAGAAAGAGAGGGACAGACAGATGGATGGATAGAGGGAGAGGTCAGAGCGATTCGTGGCAAAGAAAGAAAGCAACATGAGAGTAAGTATGACGAATAATGCCGTTGGCTTGGTATGGGAAAGCCACCCTCCTCTGTATATTTATATTTCTAGAGAGAGAGAGAGGAGAGAGGAGAGAGGAGAGAGAGATGACCTAACCCAACAAGAGAGGAGACTAGGAGAGGATATATAGTTGGGCTTCATCTCTGATCACTACTCCCAAACCGCCATTGAGAGAATAAGAGAAAAAGTTGACCACCCGCACTAGCTTTCCAACAAAGAGAACCCACCTTTTGATTTTGGCTTTGGGAGATGAGTACAAGCTAATTAAGTCTAATCCACCATGATTAAGCTTATAATTATATATATGAGAGAGAGAGAGAGGAGGTTGGATAGAGCATATGGCACAACTAGGCAGCTTTTATTATTAAAACACATCTGACGTGTCATGGAATAGAGCTTAACCAGGATGGTAATTCTTGACCCGCTAATATTTTCTTAATGCGGGTAATCGGGATTGACCCGCTAATATTTTCTTTGAAGGAGACTCAAATTTGAGCCAATTTACACCTGACTTTGGTCTGTTAGGTAAGGGTACCATTACTTCTACGCGTATTACCAAGTCAACAGAGACCGTTAAAGTCATGGGCCTGAATCATGACCCGGCCGGTTTTCCAGCCCATCATAATTTCTTGTAGACCTGGCAATTGGGTTGGGTGGGTCGGGTTCGAGTTGGGTCAAGGTACTTCGGGTTGATTTTGAATCGAGTTGAATTTTGGGTTAGGTTGTCAAATGCTAGACCCTAATCTTTAATATTCGGGTTAGGGTTGACCCATGGGTCAACTTGGGTAATCCCAAAAATAATTGAAATTTAAAAAAAAAGGAAAATTACATGAAAAATATCAAAATTAGAAGAATTAACCTTAAAATTCCAAATATAAAATAAAAAACTTGAACATTTAACAATTTAAAAAGTAAACAATAAAAAATAGAGACTAAATAGAAAAAAAATTAAAGAGTGAAAACTTCTAACAATGCATAAACAATCCCAATTAGACTTGACAATTGGTCAGCAGGTTGACCTATGACCCAACCCAATCCAACCCAATTTTTTGGGTCGGGTCATTTTTACATCCGGGTAACTAAATATGAGACCCTGACCCTGTTTTTTCAGGTTAGGTTGGATCGAGTTCGTGGATTGGATCAACTTTTTGCCAAATCTAATTTCTTGCTTTCGGATCTGCCGATTCAGCAAATGCTATCTTGATTTGCATTCTTATCGGGTTTGTCTGCACTGTTGCCGGGTCCAACCCCAACCCGATTTCATTTTTTTTGGAAGGA